TATGAGTCAGAATCAACTCGACAGCAGGGTTTTTTTTTAATTCAAGAATTATTTCTCAGGCTGTATTTGTAAATATATTTATATATTAAACAGTTTTATTTAGATATAATTTAAATACCATAAATTAACCCATTGTAATATCTATTACAGCTAATATGTATAGAGACCCTACTACACACCGGACACCAGACTAGGTAATTTACATATGCTAACTGAAATCCTCACAACAGCCTTGGTTTTAGTATATTCAAAGAGTTAGGCAACCATCACCACAATCAATTTTGGAATATTTTCATTACCCACAAAGAAACAAAGTACCCATTAGGAGTCCCATTCTCCCACCTCCTGGCAACCACTAACCTACTTTCTGTTTCTATAGATTTGTCTATTCTGGGCATTTCATATAAATGGAATCATATAATTTGTGGTCCCTTGTGACTGGTTTCTTTCACTTAGCATGTTTTCAAGGGTCACTCACGCTTTAGCATGTATCAGTACTTCATTCTTTTTTATTGCTGAAAAATATCCATTATATGGATATACTTCATTTGTTTATTTACCAGTTGATGGATATTTGGATTGCTTCCATTTTTTGGCTATTAAGAATATTGCTGCTATGAATATTTGTGTACAAGTTTCTGTGTAGACAAGTGTTTTCATTTCTCTTGGGTATATATCTAGGAGTTGAATTGCTTGGCCATATGGTAACTCTATGTTGAATGTTTTAAGGAACTGCCAGACTGTTTCTCACACCAGCTGCATAATTTCACATTCCCACCAGCAGTGTATAAGGGTTCCAGTTTCTCCACATCCTGCCAACGTGTGTTATTGTCCTTTTGTTTGATTACAGCCACCTAGTGGGTGTGAAGTGGTATTTTTACAGTGGTTTTGATTTGCATTTCCCTAAGTTGAAAATGGAAACCCTGGTGGTGTAGTGGTGGCTGCTAACCAAAAGGTCGGCAGTTCAAATTCCCCAGGCGCTCCTTGGAAACCCTATGGGGCAGTTCTACTCTGTTCTATAGGGTCACTATGAGTCGGAATCGACTCACGGTAATGGGTTTGTTTTTTTTTTTTAAAGTGGAGCATCTTTTCGTATGCTTACTGGTCACCTGTATATCTTCCTTAGAGAAATCCTTTGTCCAGTATTTCACTTAGGTTGTCATTTTATTAAGCTGTAAGAGTTCTTTATATACCCTTTATCAGATATATGATTTACAAATATCAAGTGTAATTTTAACTTAAAAAAAAAAAACAAAAAACAAAACGTCTGTGAACTTCTCTTAAAAGCAACACAACTACAAAATAACATAGTATGATTCTGATTTGCTGTTGAAATTGCTGGTAGTGGTAATATAAGCATATATATAGGAAAAAAAAGGCTAGAAAAATAAAATATGTATAGTTGTTTTATGTGTGTGAGAAACCCTGGTGGCACAGTGGTTAAGAGTTTGGCTGCTAACCACAAGGCTGGCAATTCGAATCCACCAGCCTCTCCTTGGAAACCCTATGGGGCAGTTCTATTCTGTCCTATACGGTTGCTGTAAGTCAGAATGAACTCAACAGCAAAGGGTTTTTTATGTGTGTGAAAGGATATGATTTTTTTATTGTCTTCCTTGGGCTTTCCCATTCCCCCCACCTAAATTTTCTACATTAAATGCACAGTATCTCTCTACTCCTTCCTCTAAGTCTTGATCATCCATCCACCAAAAGTGAGCAAAACAGAAAGAGAACTGCTTGAAAAAAAGTTTCACTTAAATGCCACTATATAAAATACTATAGGCTCATACTCTTTGGAAAGCCATCAAAATAAGAATTTAACAAGTTTCATTTTAAAATATCTTAAAAAATAAAGGAGGAGACCTGATCTGCCACAGTGGAGTAAACCATTACTGGAGGTCTTCCTTCTGGTGTAATCAGTAAAAGACCACGCCAGTACTGTAATGGAAAGGCAACTAAGGTCTGAGCAATTCCAGAGACCTGAAAGAACAGCTGTTATTAAGGGCAATTTTTTTTCCTTTTAATTGTCTTAAGTCAATTGCCTGTTTTGGGGAACAAAATAGAGTCAGTGTTTTTTAAACAGGAAAAAAAAAAGAGGAGAGAAAATATCATTTTGATTACTGTTTGCTAACCACCTTGAAGTCTACAACAGCAATCGAGCTATGGACTCGAACATTGCTCCCTGCTCAAGATGACATTCCTTCCAGCTCAGAAAGCCAGCTGTGATCAGACCCAGATCAGGGGTATCCCTGAAATAAACCTTAGCTCTCTGTGAAATTTAATGGATAATATAAAAAATTAAAGCATTATGATTAATTTTGATTCTGCAAATTCTCTCTCTCTGTATAATTTCCATAGAATTTTTTTCCACAGTAAAACATTTCACTATATTTTAAAACACTGTATTAAAGATCCTCTGCTACAGAGCACAGTTCTACTCTGGAACACACAGGGTCACCATGAGTGGGAACTGACTTGAGGGCAAATAGTAACTGGTTTACTGATTATATGTTAGCATGTACATTTATAACTAGAAGCAAGTTCACATGTATTTTTCTCTACATTGTTTTTCCCAAAATACTTGTAGATAGATTCCAATCTTTGATTTTCCTCAAGTTCAAAGGCTACTAGGCAACTACCACATACCTGCCTGAGATAGAGAAAAAAACTTGAATACTGTCCAGCTTCAGGAAGGTATGAAAGAAACACGGTGATGCAGATTAGTAAAACAGCAGAATCTTTTCCAACTTTCTTCAATGACTGGCAATAAGCAGAAAGAGAAACACATAAAAAAGTAAATAGAGGCTAACATCACTGACGTTCTGGGGTATTGGCTTCATTGTTTTAATCTAAAATGGCGGTTAACAAAAGTTGACTAAAATATAACAGGAAGTGAACTTTAACTTTTAACCCCTCACCATCTATCTCTATGGAAGTCACAAGTCCTAATTTCAGAGGTCTGTGTTTCAAACGTGATAGATTCAGACGGCAGCTCTTTTTTTTTTAAACACTTGCTCATTTTTGTTAACAATACCAGTTCACATTCTGAAGACTATGAACAGATCTGGAAAAATATATATTCCCTTGAAGCCTTTTAAGAAAATCACTACCCTCTCATTCCTAATATAACTTCTTTAAAGCCATAATCAGTACAGAGTTTTTATTACACAAAAAATTTTCACTTTATTCTTTCAAATATTAATATTTAATTATTTGCCTGTAAAACTAATAGACAGTAAGTATGCCCCAGATGTGGGGTCAGTGATGAGAGTGATTCTCTGATCAGTAACACTTCTTGAATGTTACAACTTTACTGTGAAAAAATTCTTATATTCTTTCCACACACAACTGTTGAATATCTAAGGACTGGAGAGTGCTGCAGTGTGTGTTACATCATCGTAACTGTATCTTTATATTACTAATAGCTAAAGTAGCTAACATCTATTGAGACCCCACACTACACACTGGATCCTAGACTAGGTAATTTATACATGTTAACTGAAATCCTCACAACAGCCCTGAAAAGTAAGCCACAGCATTTCTGTTTTACAGAGGTGTGTAACTTGATGACTACATGACAAGAAAGTGGGGGGAGTGCCTGCCTGGCTCCCAGGGTGCTCCTGGCTTCCCCCTGCAAAAAAACGCCTGCTCGCTGTCTGACATGCTAGCACCGACACAGCAGACGAGGGCCCCCAGCTGTGCCCTGAGAGGGCTTTTTAGAAAAGAATTTATGATGATATGAGTTAGTTTTCTTATTACATATGTTTTTCCTAAAAGATGAACTTGGGGGATAAAAAGCAAAAATCAAATCTCTGGGTTTTTTTCTGTACATATTCAAGAACAATTTCAAACCAGGTAAGGTTGGGGGTGGGTGATAACACTCAGTACTTTTTCTAGTTGTTAGTGTAACATCTCCCCTCACCCTCCACAAAAAAAGATTATAGAAAACAATCTATTTAATCTGCAAAATACCAGTTCAAAGCCTCTGATCAAAGTGGATTGTCTACTAACAATTTAGTTACAACAACTTTAGTCAGACCAAACGCATTTATCCTTTTCGAATTAAAGGAAATGAAAATGACTGTAATGACTTCAAATACTTTCATTTATTTTGTTAACAATGGATGAAAACACAACCATGCAAAAACAAAAAAACAAAAAAAACACACTTCTTTCCTAAACTCTCAACAAGAAAATCGCTGGACATTTTTTCTCCCTTAAGTAACATGCTTGATTAAGAAATACTAATTCTATATATTTCTTGGTGCTCAGACTCTTAATACCTTACTTGCAACTAAACATTTTCTATTTCTACTGTAAAAAGAAATGGATCCTTGAGGATGCAGAAATGTTCTTTTATCTGCATGGCTTAGAAAAATATTTAGGAAAGTAAACATGTTTTTATTTACCGCAAAAGGGTCTGCTTGTTTCCATGAAATCTGAGTTCCCCAGGAAACAGGTCTCATTTTTTCTGGTAGAGATTCTGGAACAGCCAATAAGATGAAGCAGATGTCCAAAAGAGCCACCACTGTGGCCACCAGCACGACAAGGCTGTCCCCATAACTGGCAGACAGGTAGGCTCCAATGGCTGGGCTACTGACCAGACTGGCTGCAAAGGTGGCCGAGACCTGAAGGGAAAGCACATTCTCACCCAGGGTCCCACAGGTGCATATCTGTGGCCCTCCTTCCCGGGCTTTAAACAAGACGAAAGCAAACCGTTACATGCAAATTTTAAAAATGACAGCAGATTAAAGTAATTGTAAGAATTTGTTGATAAGCTATTAGCTAACTGGAGATTGCCTTGAGAGCTACAAGAGTAAAAACTAATGATCTTATCAGAAATAAAAAATGTGAAAACCTTTCCCATAAATATAGCATACAATCTTTGGTCTTCTTAAATTGGGGAAATGGGGAGGCAGGATGTGGGAAGGAGGGATATGAAAAAAATTCCTGTGGGGTTGATGATAAAATCTACAAATTACTCAAGGGCTATGCTTAATATTTAAGTTCATCTTCTAAAAACACTGCACTGTTACACCATTTTATTAGCACTGAGAGGGGGAAAAATCTTGTTCTTAGAAAGACAAAAAAAACCACAGTTTAACAAAAAAGAACAAAAGAATTTGTTGAGAAAGAGACTGAAGCTTTTTCACTAAAGAGGTCCCTGGGCTGTGGATTTGTCATCTTGTCACCCCCTGACCTCCACTAGATGGAGATCACAGAGCCAGTTAACTACACCTGCAACCTTAAGCCATACTGAATCTCTTCACACTGCATTCTTGTAAGCACGTGGAATGCTCACTTTATTTTAGAATACAATTTGAACTGGCAAAAGCATAAACGGGCAATCTTCAACATACAAGCAGACGGAGCACCAAAAGCACATCTTTTGGTTATTTAAGGTTGGTTATTTAAACCTCTAATAGATTTTAATAGAAATTACAAAAATCATTAGGATTATAATTATGATTACTGGTAAGCCAATGACATTTTTCCTTCATCCATCACCCCCCCACACACAAATAAATACTAAAATACAGTGTATCTGATATAAATTGTTGTTATTAGTTGCCATCAAGTCAATTCCAACTCATACCGACTCAATGTGTGCGGAGTACCACTCCACAGGGTTTTCAAGGCTGTGACTTTTTGGAAACACACCGTTGGGGCTGTCTTCAGAGGTCTGACATAAATATTATACTAAAAATACTACAAAAGCCAATGACTGAATAGCAGCATTTCTGCCAAAAAGAAAAAAAGGGGGAATTCCAATTTGTGAAACAGAAACTACTGAAATATTTACTGAGTACCTAATACATGTCAGATAAATACGAAGAAAAATCACCTGCTCTTAAAAAGTTTTTCCAGAGGAAGATCAAGGCAAGAAATTGCAATGACATGAATCATTATGGGAACACTGCTTAAGGGTCCCCAGGTGGTATAGGAGCAGTGCTGCAGGGTCCCCAGGTGCTATAGAAGCACTGCTGCAAGGGTCCTCAGGTGCTATAGGAGCAGTGCTGCAGGGTCCTCAGGTGCTATGGGAGTACTGCTCCAGGGTCCCAACGTGCTACGGGAGCACTGCTAGAGGGTCCCTAGATTCTGTGACAGCACTGCTGCAGTGTCCTCAGGTGTGGGATTCAACAACCTATCACTCCAAATCAAACAGTTACATGGTTCTAGAATAACACCAAAAACCTCGTATCTGCATAAAATGGTTCAATCATTCATTCATTTATTCATAAGGGCTTCCATTATCTGTTTTTAAAAACCAAATAATAGTTTTTCTTTAAATTGTGTTTTAGGTGAAAGTTTACAGTGCAAATTAGTTTCTCATTCAAAAATTTTTACACAAATTGTTTTGTGACATTGGTTGCAATACCTCCAATGTGTCAACAATCTCCCCCTTTCCCTTTACACCCCAGGTTCCCTGTGTCCATTCGTCCAGTTTTCCTGGCCCTTCCTGCCTTCTCGTCTTTGGTTTTGGGCAAGTGTTTTCCATTAGGTCTCCTGGAAAGTGCTGCCCATTAGGTCTCCTGTACTGCACTGAACTAAGAAGCATGTTCCTCACATATGTTATTGTTTGTTTTATAGGCCAGTCTAATCTTTGGTTGAAAGGTAAGCTTTGTAGAGTGGCTTCGGTTCTGAGTTAGCAGGGTGTTTGGGGGCCATAGTCTCTGTGGTCCCTCCAGTCTCTGTCAGACCAGTAAGTCTGGTCTTTTTTTTTTTTTTTTTTTTGTGAATTTGAATTTTGTTCTACATTTTTCTCCCGCTCTGTCCAGAACCCTCTATTGCCATTATCTTAACTCTCATAGTATTCTTGGATGTAAATTGAAACGGTACTCCACTATTCAATTTACAAATGAAGAAACACAAATAGAAAAGTTTAATAACTATCTTAACCTTACATGGAGCCCAGGTGGTGCAGTGGTTAAGATCTCAGCTGCTAACCAAAAGATCAGCAGTTCGAATCCACCAGCCGCTCCTTGGGAACCCTATGGGGCAGTTCTACTCTGTGGAATTTAACCTTACACAGGTGAGCAAAAATTAAAAAGCATTTTCCAATCTCTTAAGTAATTTTTTCCACTCTCATAATTGCTATGCTACAGGTGAGGAACAGAGCTATAGAGAGGGTAACTAACGGTCACAGTCACTCCCGGTTCCAGAGCTGTCTCTCGGAAATCGCATTACTATTGCTCTACTGCTCAGCATGACAGCTTTTGTGAATGGTCCTCCAGCTGAAAAGTAAGAGACAAAAATCTAACAAAATTGAAGGAGACCAGTATCTAAACCGGTATCTCGAGGTGTAGAGAAAAGCTGCACAAGTGTTTGATTAATGAGGCTTTTGGCACCGTTGACTCTGCTGACCAACCCTTAAGTGACCAGCTTGAATATCTTGTCTTCGTGAAGCCTTCCTATTAGCCTGGGCTGCTTCTCTCTCTGTCCTCCTCCCCAGTACTCTGAAGATGCCACTGTTTTAGGACTTGGCATGAGAGACATTCAGGAAAGGAGTAAAGGAGGAAGGGACAGCAAGTAATAGCTAGAGGGGAAGTGAGGAAGTTGAAAGAGAAGTTCCAAACTACTGATCTCTACAGTCAATAAAGTAAAAATTGCTGTTGTGTTTTGTGGCACAGCAACAGCAGTAACTTATTTATATGTCCATCATTCATTCAATTATGCAGTTATCATGAATCTATCAGTCCATTCTAAATGACTACTTACTGTACTTCAAGCAGTGAGATTTAAAAGAAAAAATAAGACCCAGGGAAGGCAGAAGTAACCTGGGTTTCTAGCATTCACCAACTCCTCCAACTTATTCTCCACAATACAGCCAGGCCATCTTTCTTTTTCTACTTTCTTATTGTGAACATTTTAAAACACAGAGTTGAAAGAAGAGCACAATGCACATCTACATGTCCCAACAGGTTCACACATTGAACATGTGGCAATATATGCTCACCCACATGCTCACACACTATCTCTTCTCCCTTAAAGGAACTCACAGAGTGATGATGACACTCTGACCTAAACCGCTTCAGCCATCTTCTAATAGGTCTTTCTTCTCCTACATAACTGCAATACTATTATCACCCCTGAGAAAGTTAGAAATGACTAATACCCAATTGTAAAAAAAAAAAAAAAAGTCTCCTATACTTTTTGTTATTTATTCAGTAATTATTTGCTGAATTAGTGTAGTCCTTTTTCTACAGTACTGTGGCCCACACTAGTGCCTAAGACACACAATCAGCAATAACTGTAACAATGGGTTAACACAGCTGAGGTTCTAACTCCTGTCCAACTGAAATCAGGTGCACACAGACTTATCTTAGCACCCGTTTTCTGGTTAGGTTACTCCAGAGATCAGCTAAAAAGAAACAAATCAAACCTATATTTTTTTAAACTTTGCAACTAACAACTCACACATTCCTGCCAATCTTCCAACACTAACACCAGGGAATAAATTACCAGCAATTTCTATTTTGCTATTTTAATTTTTCATAGAGGCCCTTTTTATTTCAATTGCTTTAAGTTTCCATTTATGTAAATCAATATTTATCACTTATTTTAAATCTCATTTTCCTGTGAACTTTTAATAGAATGTTAATTATTGCTTGGTTAAAAAAATATAAAGTCTATTATCTTACCCATCCATAAGCAGTACTTCGCTCATGCTCCTGAGTGACATCAGCTACATAGGCAAATATCACAGAGAACGTGACCGAGAAGACTCCAGACACGGAAATCATGGCAAAATACCACCTATAAAAAAATGATTCTAATTACCCAGGAAACAGTGTACATATACTGATTTACTTATCTTTTGTAACCAGAGCCAAAAATACCATGTAAAGATTATAAATTATACACACACACACACGTATACACACACACACACACAACCACTGCCATTGAGTCGATATTGACTCATAGCAACCCCATAGGGTTTCCAAGCTATAAATCTCTAATGAAACAGATCGCCACATCTTTCTTCCTTGGAGCTGCTGGCTGTTTCAAACCAGCGACCTTTCGGTTAGCAGTCATGCACTTTCACCACTGCGCCACTAGGGCACCTACTATATATATGTATTTATGTGTGTGTGTGTATATGTATATATAAAGGCAATTAATCAAATTAACTAAAATCAAGATGGGGAGGAAGAAGTAGAAACAACTAATTTTTTCATTGCTCATCAAAGGGTGTTTAGTACATATGGTCTAAAAAAGAAAAAATAAGGGTTAATTAAGGTCATAGTTTTAAAGGTAGCCAACAGAAGAAAAATAAAAACGCTCCAAATTTCTTACTGTTAGCTAAGAAAAAGACATATGGAGTAAATGAATATAAAAGGGCTATACAAAACAGAAGGCATAAGAAAAAATATTAAAATAATAAGACTAAAAATTGCTGCCATATGCATAGATGCTAAAAAAAAAAAAAAACTAGATAAAATATTAGCAAACAGAAATGAATTAGGGTTCCAGCTTCCCCACATCCAGGCCAACATTTTTTATTTTATTTTTTAATCTTAGCCATCCTCCTAGTGGGAGTGAAATGGTTTCTCACTGTGGTTTTGATTTGCATCTCTCTGATGGATAATGACGCTGAGCATCTTTTCATGTGTTTGGTGGTCACCTGAATGTCCTCTTGGGTGAAATGTCTATTTGAGTCCTTTGTCCATTTTATGACTGGGTTATTTGCCTTTTTGTTGTTAAGCTGTCGAAGTTTTATATATATTTTAGTTATTAGATTCTTGTCAGATATATGGTTTCCAAAGATATTCTCCCAGTCAGTAGGGTGTCTTTTCATTTTTTTGGTAAAGTCTTTGGATAAACAAAGTTTTTAATTATTATGAGGTCCCATTTATTTTGTTTTTTTTTTACTGTTTGTGCTTTTGTTATTATATTAGATAATTCACTGCTGAAAGCTAGGCCTGACAGAATTGCTCCTGCTTGTTCTTCTAAAAATTCTATGGTTTTAGCTTGCACATTTAGGCCCTTAACCTATTTTGATTTTGTTATTGTGTATGGTTTGTGGCATGGATCCTGTTTCATTTTTCTGCATGTGGAAATCCAATTTTTCCTAGCACCATTTACTGAAGAGACTCTTCTTTCTCCATTGAATGGACTTAGTACGCTTGTCAAAAATCAGTAGACCACAGACGTGTGGGTTTATTTCTGGACACTCAATTCTATTCCATTGGTCTATGTGTCTATTGTTATACCCAGTACCAAGCTGATTTGATTACTGTAGCTGTATACTATGTTTTAAAATGAGAAAGTGTGAGACTTCCTACTTTGTTCTCTCTCAATATTGTTTAGCTATTTGGGGTCTCTTGCTGTTGCCCATAAAGCTGAAGATAGGTTTTTCTATTTCTGTAAAGTTTGTTGGAATTCTGATCAGGATTATGTTGACTCTATAGATCGCATTGGGTAGTACTGACATCTTAACAATATTAGGCCTTCCAATCTTTCCATTTATTTAAGTCTTCTTTAATCTGTTCCAGCAGTGTTTTATAGTTTTCCTTCACGTCCCTGGTTAGATTTATTCCTAGGTATTTTATTCTCTTAGATGGTATTGTAAATGGAAGTGTTTCCTTAATTTCCTTTTGAAATTTTTCATTGCTGGTGTATAGAAACCCAAGTGATTTTTTTTTCTTTTTGTTTATTGCTGTAGTTTAAATGAAAGTTTACATTTCAAGTTAGTCTCTTATGCAAAAATTTATACATACATTGTTATGTGACCCTAATTGCTCTCCCTATACTGTGACAGCACACTCCTCCTTTCTACCTCTGATTTTCCACGTCCATTCAACCAGCTCCTAACCCTCTCTGCCTTCTCATCTCATCTCCAGACAGAAGCTGCCTGTTTAGTCTCACGTATCTACTTGGAGCTAAGAAGCACACTCTTCACGACTATCATTTTATGTCCCACAGTCCAGTCCAATCTTTGTTTGAAGAGTTGGCCTCGGAAATTTAGTTCTGGGCTGACAGAGAGCCCCGGGGGCCATGCTTTCTGGGGTCCTCCAGTCTCAGTCAGACCATTAAGTCTGGTCTTTTTACTAGAATTTGAGTTCTGCACCCCACCTTTCTCCTGCTCCATTAGGGACTCTCTGTTGTGTTCCCTGTCAGGGTGGTCACTGGTGGTAGCTGGGCACCATCTACATCTTCTGGTCTCAGGCTGACAAAGTCTCTGAAGAAACCCAAGTGATTTTTGTTTGTTGATCTTGTACCCGTAACTTTGCTAAATTCCTGTTAGCTCTAGAAGTTTTCTTATGCATTCTTTGGGATTTTCTATATATAGGATCATATCATCTGCAAACAGAGGTAATTTTACTTCTTCTGTTCCAATCTGAATACCTAATTTCTTCTTCCTATCTTATGGCTCTGGCTAGGACTTCTACTACAATATTGATTGACAGTGGTGAGAGTGGGCACCCTTGTCTTGTTCCTGATTTCAATGGGAAAGCTCTCAGTCTTTCTCATTAAGTATAACGTTGGCTGTTGGTTTTTCATATATACCCTGAATCATACTGAGGAATTTCCCTTCTATTTCAATCTTCTTTAGGTTTTCATCAACAAAGGGTATTGGATTTTATCAAATGCACCCACAGAGATGATCTAGTGGCTCTTTTCCTTTTGTAAAAATGGCGTTGGGGCCGTGTCTGACCTCCTCTAACTTCACCAAGATCAATAGCCCAAGGCTGATTCCCATGAGGCGGAGGTCAGAGATGCCTCCTCTCTCTGCCATCTTTACCAATTCTGACACCAACTGTCCCTCCCACAGCACTCTCTACTTCTCTGCTAGGTTCAATAATTCACTACAATGGCCATACAGAATTCACAGATAATACTCACGATTATGGGCTCTACAGGTTACAGTTCAGGCTGAGGAATGCTCAGGATACAGTTCTTCCATCAGGACAGCCTCTTCCCAGCAGTGCTTGCAGGCAAGCCTCTCCCTGGCCCTTGGCCTCTGCACTGCTCAGGAGAGTGTTACAAAACGTTTTTAGCTCTTCCAATAAGTGACCAGAGGTACCCTACTCCACCAGTAAGCCTTGGCCCAAAGGAGCTCAGCTTTCTTGCTCTGTGGGCCAGGGAGCCCACTGCGCCATCTCCTGCCGGTCTGTCCTGCTGCTGTTTCTCTGTCACCGCTTCTCTCTGTCTTCACGTTACAGCTTTTTTCCTGTGTCTCCTGGTTCCAGGAGTTTCTCAGCACAGGGATGCCGGGTTCAAAGGATGTGCTCTGCTCTTGGCTGTTCTTCCACGGTGGTGGTGAGATCCTCTCTCTGCTCTGGAACTGGCTCTCTTTTAAGCCTAGCAGGATGGCAAAACTAACCAGTGCTCTTGCCGGGCCACAATTTGCACAGTCCTGCCGAATCATTTGAGTGGCAGTTACAAGACCATAGCAAGAAAGTCCACATAAAAGTGATCCATCACACTGCAGGCCACCCCCTGGCTTTTCTAGCCATGGTTCTTTCATACTTGAAGGATGACTTCTGACTTCCAATCATTTTACCAGTCCAAAACAGTCATTAACAATTAGTTTTTCAGTCAGGCAAATGAGTTCTAAGGGTGAGGTCACTCAGGTACCAGCCATTCAAGTCTGCTGTAGGTGTCCATCTGATTGGGTCAGGTTCTCCAAAAGTCATCTCAGCTTCACCCTTTCTGGTGTCTGATAAAATTTAACTGAGAGAAGATTATTCCCTTGCTCTGAGTCTCACAAAGTATCAGCATAGTAAAACCTTTAAGGGACTTCAAGTTCAGCCACTGTACTCCAGTCGAAGAGACAAGTATGTTCCTTGGTCTTGAAGAATCTTCTGTTCCAGTTGGAACTTTGAGCATGTGCATCCATAAGCAAAGTCCATTCCAGAGCAAGCCATCAAATTGCAGCAATCTATGATAGCTCACGGTGCTAAACATCTCTCTCTTCATTTGGTCAGGTTCTGGTCAGCTCATCCCTAGCCATCTAAGCTAGGTGACAATGAGTAACAGCCTTAGGCTCCAGAGTTCACATACACCTCCTGGCACTTCAGACAGCCCTTCACACTCTCTCATCCCTAGCCCCCTTGGGCTAGGTCAACAGGTTCCACTTATAAACTTAAGGAGTCCACACAACTCCCTTTACTTCTGACTAGCCAGCTGTTCCTCTCTCTAATCCCTAGTCCCTGTGGACTCAGCCTATCTCTTCATTGCTGCACTTGCCCCACTTCCACTCATAAGTGGACCCAGGTGGTCACCACAAGAGAGCATACCGAACTGTCTAATCTCCTGCTCCCATTAACTTCGAGTTCTGGAAGGGGTTCCTTCTGATGGGCACTAACACATCCAGTGGCAAACCCCTTACTCAAGATTCAAAAAGCAAAACACTTCTGCTTTTTTTCCCTGCAGGTCCTTTCTTCAAATGCAAATCTCCCATTCCCTCAGCAGTTCTAGGTGGTTCAGTATGTCTTTTCAAATGCAAATTTCCTGACTCCCAAAGGGTTCAGCTGTGGCTCACATATGCACAGAGCTACTGCATTCAAACCAACAGTCTGTGTTTCTTTCCAGCTAATCCTAGTTTCCCTTCTAGCATATCTAATCAAGTTGTAGGGTAATACTATTCAGCTATATGCATCTCCTCCTAATGGGAAGTCATGGCTGTCCAGGGACTTGGAAGAAAAACAAATAAGCCTTAGCCCCAGCTGAAGCTGTATATAAGCTTGCGTCCCTTGCTAGGTGGTTGCAGAGTGCTACTCTGGTCCAGCTGCCAGCCTGGACTGTTC